GCTGTGGAAATTTTTAGAGATGGATGATATTAGACCATGTTTCAATAAGAATTAATGTAACAAGTTGTGTTCCCTAGAAGCAGACTCTGGGATGGAGATAAACGTGCTGGAATTTTACACCCAGAGAAGGTCGGGGTAGACAAGAAGAAGTAGGTTGCAGGGAAGGCTCTGGGACAGCCTTGGCTGACCCCACAGGGAACTCCGGGGCTGGACTGACACTTCCAAGCTAGACCAACATAGCCTGGCCTCAGAGGAGGTCTTCCCTGGGAGGGGACCCAGAATTTTCTGGGATAGGTTGTGGTCTTGTCTGGGAGGAGGGGTCAGGTCATCCCTGGGAGGGAGGTGCTGTGGCCTGCCCTGGGAAGTTGGTGTGGCCCACCCTGAGAGGAGGTGGTGCTGGTCAGCATGAGAGAGACATGGCCCCTGCTGGAGGGAGGCAGTTTTGTGGGGACAGCTGGTGCGTTCCCTGTAGGAACCCCTGTGCAGGCCCTCTCGGCAGCCTCCTCAGCTCCCCATAACAGTAGCTGGTGCCAGAGTACCTCCCTGGGCAGTTCCCCTTATTCTCATGCCACTCCACTTCATGTGCTCCCTGGCATTCAGGGAACAGTTGCACATTCCTGCCACCCAGTCAGACAGCACCACTGCACCTTTGCACGCTTCCCCCTCACCCTCACACATCTCAAGATCATATTCTGGCCTGCTGGTCCTTGCCACAGTTATGTCCCAATGTCCAGGTAGCACCTGGAGCCTCCAGCTCACTCAGAACCTTGGTTTTCTGCTGCAGGGATCTTCTAAACTGCATGGTCAGAGTTGCAGGAAATGGAAGCACAGGCTTCCAAGTTTTGTCACTGGGAATGGCAGGGGGCACAGCACCCTTTGCCTCATTCCTTGGTTCCCAAACTCATTTATTCTTCCTATTGTGGAAACAGAACGATCCTTGAATTGATGCATATGCAGTACCTTGGAGGCTGGACCTCAATCCTCAGAGAACTGCCTTCAAGCTAGAGCTTCGCTTGTGCCTTTACCAGCTTCTGATTGGGATCATGATCCCACTTCTGCATATCCTTTACTGTGCAACAGTCCCCTTGTCAGATATAATGTTGTAAGGGATCCTGCATCAGTGACTCAAATCTTCTGTAAAACCTCAGATGGTAGTGCTGCCTGAAACCTTGCAGGTAGAAAAGGCTAATGCATGCCTGGATTGTGTGTCTCTTTCTGGAAAAATGAAGTGCTGTCATTTCCAGGATGGAAAAATTCCAATGTAGTTATCTCTTTTTTTATTTTTATTTATTTATTTTGACAGGCAGAGTGGACAGTGAGAGAGAGAGACAGAGAGAAAGGTCTTCCTTTGCCGTTGGTTCACCCTCCAATGGGCGCCGCGGCTGGCGCGCTGCGGCCGGCGCACCACGCTGATCCGATGGCAGGAGCCAGGTACTTATCCTGGTCTCCCATGGGGTGCAGGGCCCAAGTACTTGGGCCATCCTCCACTGCACTCCCTGGCCACAGCAGAGAGCTGGCCTGGAAGAGGGACAACCGGGACAGAATCCGGTGCCCCGACCGGGACTAGAACCCGGTGTGCTGGTGCCGCAAGGCGGAGGATTAGCCTAATGAGCCGCGGCGCCAGCTCCAATGTAGTTATCTTGCCACTGAGAGACTGGTTGATTCCCATAATGAATAGTGCTATATGGGTAAGTCAGTATTGGTGTCTGTTGCTGGTGGATTGTACTTTAGTGGCAACAGTAGCTAAATTACTCTAGTCAATGGGAACCCATGCTTTTAGGCCCAAGTGTGAAAAGTAAACATTTGGTTAATTTTCAAAGTAAGGTGCTTAGCTGTGAGTAAACAACTAGCTAGCCTAACAGGTTGCAGACAAGTAGCCTAACAGCTAAGTTACATGCACCTAGAAAGTTCTTAGGCAAACAGGATTCTAGGAGTGGCCAAAACAGCTGAAGCAAACGCCAGAAGATTTTAACTCCATAGTATTCAGCCAGTGAGGAACTGGGTGAGGCACCTGGTGATCACTAATGAACTCTTGCTTTTGGTGCAGTTCTTGAGTCTGAGTCCACTATTTAAATGGATGGGTGAGGCTGTTTCTCACACAAGTACAAATTCTATGGCACTGTATCCACTTAGTTCACACCTTGCCAGCACTAGAATGATCTATGGCATTTTCTGGACCCTTGACCAAACACCAAGCCATATGCTATTCCCTTAGTCTATATAGATGAGGGATCTTCAAAGTGTTCATAGAAAATGCATATTATGAAAAACTATGCAAGATTTTCAAAAGTTTAGGAGGCTAAAATAAACTTAAATTGTAATTCCACTTGTCCATGATCTTTTTGTATTTGAACCTCAAGCTATTTCTCCTTTTACGTGAAGTGGAAAACCAGCAATATTGGCTAAGGTTTGGCCCACTGGGGGAATTTTCTTTTACCACTGTCTACCAAAGCCACCCCCAAGTGGGGCTTTAGTACAACAGCAGTAAATTTTTGGCTGGGACTAGCTCAATCTGTCCCAACCATAAATCAAATTCAGTGTTTTTTGTCTTCCCTCTCCCATGAGCCAGTTGTCAGAGATGCCCCACAAGGCCATGGGTTTGATGTGAGGTAGAGGTGGCAATGCAGCAGGTGTAAACTAGCTGGGGCTCTGATGACCTGCTTACACAGCTTGCTGTGCCTTCTGGCCCATGCAGATCCCCATTCATTCCCTGTAAATCAGCTCTCTTTCCTGGAAGAGCTTTCTTATCAGTACTCTGGCCCCTGTCCTCAAGTCAGGACAGAAAATCACGGCCTTCAGTCAGCAGAACTGTTCCCATGGCTTCTCATGTGTCCTGGAAACCCTACAAAAGCGTGGGATGCAGGGCTACACCACAGAAGAGGGAGGTGAGCATCAAGTCAGCTCCATCTTTGCTGCACACAGCTGGCCTCCTTGAGAGACGCCTGCTCAAACAGTGCACAGTTTCAAGGAGTTTTTTCAGTCCATCTGCTGCCAGGACTCAAAAGGGGTGTCCAGATCTTCCTGTGTGACTATGGGTTGGCCATTTCCTACTTGTGCTTCCAACACTTTGCACTTCATGTGAATTGATGCTGAACTCTTAGTTTTAAACAACTCACCATTTTGATATCACTTCTGGATTTTACTGTTCTTAAGAGACAATCCCCTTTATTTCATCAGTTATTCCTTTCTGCCTTGACTTTGACAGCATGTGGGAATCATAGAGGCTCTTTCCCATTGGAAAGGGTTTTCTCTGCTCCCTTATGCATTTTTGTTTTTCACTAAAATAGTAAAAACATAATGTTTCTAGTCCACACTCCTCATTAGAGCTCCAGCAACACAATCCTGGGGACCTGCTGAGTGTTTCCATAGTTTTGGTGGCTTACGATTGGCATCTACATTTTTCATACAAAGCACCATGATTCAGTTTAAGTTTTCAGTATTTCTAGTCACTCTTTTGCCAATTACGTCTGCTCAATTTGTGTGGCAGTGTTTCCATACATTCATAGCTGACAGTTAATTGTCTGAAAGCAAATCAGACAAAAACATTTTTTCAAGCATCGTTGTTCAAGTATTAACAACTTCTGTGCCTCTTTGGGTGATTTTATAATTTTTAAAGTACACGAGAAAAAATTATTCTTTTTCTTCTTCTTGCTCTTTCTTTCAAATAAATAAAGTAAAACTCAATCCAGTTCTCTCAAGGAGACAGCAGGGACCCAGGTACTTAAACTATCACTTATTGCTTCCCAGGGTGCCCATTAGTTGTAGCCTGGATCAAAACTGAAGCCAGATGGAAAGCCAAGACACTCTGGCAAAAAGATCTCTGTGAGTGAGATCCCAGTGGAAAGAACAGGTCTTCAAAGAGGGAGGTGCCTTTCTCTGAAGGGAGGAGAGAACCTCCACTTTGACTATGACCGTGTCTAAACAAGATAAGAGTCGGAGAACTCAAGGGGCTTCCATAGCCTTGGAAACTCATAACTGGTGCATAGGGAGATTACTGATGCCATAAACAGGAGTGTCAATTGGTAAAGTCAACAACAGGAGTCACTGTGCACTTACTCCTCATGTAGGATCTCTGTCCTTAACGTGCTGTACACTGAGGCTTAATGCTATAACGAGTACTCAAACAGTATATTTCACTTTGTGTTTCTATGGGGGTGCAAACGACTGAAATCTTTACTTAATGTACACTAAACTGATCTTCTGTAAAAAAAAAAAAAGAAAGAAAGAAAGAAATTATCAATTCCCAACTTGACTCTCACTGGGATTAAACATGACAATAGGTCTGATCTGATTTCATCATCATTTAAAAAAATCATCTATTATTTTTCACTTTATGTTTCTGTGTGGGAGCAAACTGTTAAAATACTTACTTAAGGTATACTAAGCTGATCTTCTGTATATTAAGATAATCGAAAATGAATCTTGATGTGAATGGAAGGGGAGAGGGAGTGGGAAAGAGGAGGGTTGTGGGTGGGAGGGACGGTATGGGGGGGAAGCCATTGTAACACACGAGTCGTACTTTGGAAATTTATATTCATTAAATAAAAGATAAAAAAAAAGAATAAAAAAAAAAAACTGAAGCCAGAACTCAAACCCAGGGATTCTGATATGGGAATAAGGCATTCCAAGGCATGACTTTAACTGTTGTGACAAATGCGCACCCCTCTCCTTCATTTTTAAAGGAAAATTTCATGGAGTATTGAATTCTCTCAACACTTCACTCTTTCACACTTTCACTCTACTCTCTTCGTGCTTGCCTGGTTTCTGCTCTAAAATTCTTACCTTTGCTCCTCTACAGGGAAAGCGTTCCCCTCTCTCTTCAACTGCTTACAAGACTTTTTTTTTTCCTGAAATTGGAACATATTGTGCGTAGGTATAGTTTTTTGTTTGTTTTAATTTATCTTTCTTGGTATTCTCGGAGCTTCCTGAAGCTGGTATCTGACATTAATTTGGGAATAAGAGCCCACCAAATTTAATGACTTTTTTCTTTCTTCACACAGATCTCCTCCTAGAATGCCAAGATCTTTTCCATTCAACACTTCAGTCATATACAAAAAGACTGTGTTTGTAGAGTTCACGGATCAACTTTTCAACATCGTCAAGCCCAGGCCACCCTGGATGGGTAATGGAAACAGTCTTGAATCTTAATTATGAAACTCAGTGTCTTATTTCCTAGCAAGGATCCCTAATGCTGAAGCTGCATTTAAAGAGGGCAGCTGCTAAAGAGAATGTTGTTTTGACCTCATTTCTGTTCTTCCACCTTCAGAGAAATACAGTGGCTGAAATTTTCTCAGTACTCTGCTTGGTCCTAGATTCATTTTGTTTTCTTTCTATCTTCATTACCTAGGTGATTTTATCCAGTCTGATGGCTTTAAAATATCATGTATATGCTAATAAGTCCCAACTTTATATTTTCAATTCCAACCTTTTCCCTGAATGCCAGCTGCTTACCACCACTTAGATGTTGCTCAGAATTATAACACACAAGTATTCCCACATTCAAGACTTTTTCAATTGGTTCTGCAACCCTTAGCTCATGACTCATCTGCAGCCCATATAAAAGAAGGGAAAGAACTGTATGAAAGAGTTTAGATTTGAAGATACCTATCGAGAGCATTTATGGGGGAAGTTCCCATCATGGCATAGCAGGAAGAGTGGTCTTCCTACCAGGGCTAGGTTATCCCAGCAGAAAAATTCTGTATGGCTCATACCTGCCAGAAGCAGGGACTGAGAGGAGAAATGTAAGTGAATACCTGGAGAAGACATATAAATTCTCTATAAAAGAAGAGCCAGAATTTTGGCATGTGCCACTGCACTCTCCAAGAAAGACCTTGTCATTATGTCTCTTTTTCCACTCACACCCTCTTTCCATTATACCTTAGAGGATCCCCAGGCAATGAGATGAGGAAGATTAGCAGAAGAATGTAGGAAAGCAATGAACCTGTCCAACTCAGCTGGAGGGGAGCAGGCTAATAGACTGGGCTGGACTTAGTACCTAAAAATCATACTGTTTGTTAATACATGACGGTCACTGGAAAAATCTACAATCAGCCAAAGTGGTAGAAGGGAAAATTCCACATAATTCAATTTAAAAATAAAGTTATTTCATTACACTGAATTCTTTACATGCTCAGTGTCTCTGGAATGGGATTTTCGTGATCTGTTTTACTCACTCCTGCATTTCCAAAGTCTACGACAGCTTTTAGAATATAGTAGGGACAAAAATATTATTTGAGTGAATGAATAAGTGAATACACTGAATGAACTACCATGAATCTTCTCAGAACAACTACGAAGCTGAGCTAGTGTTAATAGCAAGAATAACTATTCTTTATCAGTAACCATAGGGGCATGCTTCTCTACTGTGGCTTTGGCCCGGACTTTTGTAATAACAGGCTTCTTGGAGTGACTTTTGGGGAACATCTCATTCTTGCAGGTCTGCTGGGTCCTACCATCTGGGCTGAGGTTCATGACACAGTGGTCATTACACTTAAGAACATGGCTTCTCATCCTGTCAGTCTTCATGCTGTTGGTGTATCTTACTGGAAAGCTTCTGAGGGTGAGTCAAATACCCTCCTATTGTCATCCTAAGGATTACAAGAGGGAAATATGGGTGCTTTGTGATAATGGCTATCTTTGTTCATTTTGTGTTGCTGACAAATGTACTGGAGTTTGGGTGCTCCATAATGAAAGGAGATTTATTTAGTTGACAGTTCTGTGCCCTTCTGTTGAGGGCCTCATGTTAGGTGGCATCACATGGCAGGAGCACATGCAAGACGGAGAGGTCACATGGTGAGAGAGGAAGCAAAATAAGGCAAAAAAATTGGATTCATTTTTATAACAACCTGCTCTGTGCTAACCAGTTCAGTCCCATTACACTGAGGAACAAGCTTCCAATGTGTAAGCTTTAGGAGACAAACCACATCCAAACCATTGCAATGACAAACTTGGAATTATATCCATTATATTCAATATAAGCTTACTGAAGGATAACAATAACAACAGGGACCATCATATATTGATTTCAAGGTCATACAGCTAGTGAATGATGGGATAAGGATTAAAACTAGGCCTAAATAATTCCAGAACTTGTGCTCTGACCCATTATGCTATACTGAAGGATACACACAAATAATGTTGAATTTTGTTCATGTAACTGGAAAGTCCAATGTAATCAACAGGGTGTGGCTGAATCTAAGGATTTAAATGATTCCATATTGGAGTGCCTGGTTTCAGTCCCAGTTCCACTTCTGATCCAGTTCCCTGCTAATGAATGCCATGGGAAGCAACAGGTGATGGCTCAAGTGCTTAGGCCCCTACCACCCATGTGGAAGAACTGAATGGAGTCCCTAGTGCCTGACTTTGGCATGGTACAACTCTGACTGTGCAAATATTTGGGGAGATTCTCTCTCTCTGTTTATTTCTGGCTCTATCTCTTCCAAATAAAATAAAAATGAATAAATAAATAATTTAAAATGATGCCCTCAGCAACATAGTGTTTTCCCACCATCTCGGCTCTATTTTCCTTCTTTTTGGTTTGATTCTCAGGCAAGGTATTCTAGTGTAATGTCAAAGATAGCCACTGGAAGTTCAAGGCTTATCTCATAGTTAGTGTGTAGTAGGAAAGTTCCCAGTGCTTCCTGGTGTTGGGTACTATGGGAGAGTTAGAAAGAGAGAGGCAGCATGAGTATTACCCAATCCACCAGGAAAGGGGTCCTGTCCCACAAAAAGGGGACTTTTTATAAGAGGGAAGAGGTAAGGAAAAGCATATCAGTCATCTGCAAATATAACCTCTACAGGTCTCTGCAACCCGGTCATGGGAAGGGCACAGATTCAGGACCTCAGCATTCACTCTCTCTTCATGTTAGTTTCACCATGTGAAGAAGCTATCTTCAGATATCTACATCTATTCCCAATGACAATGGCCAGGGAGCATGAACTTTCCAGCACTCTCTTGAGAAAGGGTTCTGAGTAGAAGGGGTAAACTGGGAGACCTAGTAACTATGATGAATTACCAAGATTATATTGTTTTGAAGAGGCCAATAGAGTTGCAGTGCTCTAGAGTTGGTTGTTTGAGACATAGTAAAAATTGATTTGGGACAGACTCCCCACCTCCACGAAAAGATCTCCCTAGATTTCCAAATCTCCAAAATCTCTGTTTTACTTAAGTCATACAGACTTCTTTGATACAATGAATGTGGTCTGGAGATTGATGTGGGCAACTTAGATTCCAGAATGGATTCCTACAACTAGTATAGACATTAATAGAAAGCAGAGAAGTATCAGCGATGGTACTTATGGATCTTGAGGAAGTACAATAGATGTTATTAAGCTGGGGTCAGGGAGAGGGATAAGGAGTAAAGGAGAGAAAAAAGACCATATTCATATTCATGCCTTCCAAGTTTGTAGATACTATTTCCAGAGATTCCTAAACCAAGAGAAGTCAATAAAGGGAATCAAGCATAAACTGAAGCAAGCACAGTTACCAATCCAATGTGTAAGCTTTAGGACATAGCCATGTTCTGAGTAAGTCTCCATGTTCTCATTCTTGTGAACTGATTATTCTTTAAAATCTTTTGACAGCCTAACTAAACATTATATCTGTTTCTCAAAGTTACTAGAGTGTAACTATCTCAAGACAGGATCAATGTCTTGTTTGTTGTTTAATTGGCACATAGCATGGTCCCTAGCCTATAGTGAATGCTCAATACAATATCCAGGGTATAGCAGGCAGTAGTCATGTTTCTTCCTAAGGTTACATATATTCCTCACTCCCTATCCTATGGGAATTGTTTCAAATATATGTATTTTTTTTTGACAGGCAGAGTTAGACAGTGAAGAGAGAGAGACAGAGAGAAAGGTGTTCCTTTTCTGTTGGTTCACCCCCCAAGTGGCCACTACGGCAAGTGTGCTGTGGCCAGCGCACTGCGCCAATCTGAAGCCAGGAGCCAGGTGCTTCCTCCTGGTCTCCCATGTGGGTGCAGGGCCCAAGGACCTGGGCCATCCTCCACTGCACTCCCGGGCCATGGCAGAGAGCTGGACTGGAAGAGGAGCAATCGGGATGGAATCCAGCGCCCCAACCAGGACTAGAACCCGGTGTGCCGGCAATGCAGGCAGAGGATTAGCCTAGTGAGCAGCAGCGCCAGCCTCAAATATATGTATTTTAAGTGGAACCTGCCATTTCCTTAAAACCTTACCTTCCCGGCATAGTCATTGGCCTAGGGATGAGCAGTTAATTCAGGTATCTAGCTTCCTTGGCTATAGTGGATTGTCTACAGATGGGCATCTAATCTAAACTGTGCCAATGAGAGAACTTCCACTCTCCAGGATTTTAAAATTCATGAGAAAGGACCTACAATTACCAGGTAATTCTATAATTTGGGGATGAAATCCAGATATGTAACAAATCAAGACTATTGATTCAGAGGTTCTTTGTGGGCCACACACTCTATAAGAGTCTTAAGGGGTGTTGATCCTGTCCTTTGTAGGCATGGAACAATCATAAGGAAAGCTAACTTTCTCTGCTCCTTCAACATCACTGATCCTATGTTGAACTTTTTGGCAAGTAATCAGAGATAGGAAGCCATGACAAATCTAGAGCATCTGAATTTGTATCTTACAGAGTCACATATAATTAAAGGTCAACATTGCTAAAATTTTCCAAAGATTGACAGAGAAATGGTGGCCAACATACTTTTTACCTTTTTCTTTTCTGCTAACTTAAGAGATAAAAGCCTTAAAATTATGAATATGGGGATATAAACATTCCAAAATCCAGCTCAAATTAAACCCATCAAAAAAACTAACACACTGGAAACCTTTTCAGGATCCCCAAATGGTCAAATTACAGTAGAAGTATATTATACAACAAGAAAACACCAGACATGTTTATTGTATGGTAGCCAAGATCCAGATGTGACTATCATGCACTTGAAACGTAATGAGTCCTAATTGAAATATGCTATAAAACAATAGATCCTGAACTCCAAAGACTTCATATATATCAGATCTAGCTAGCTGGGCTGTTCTATCACAGGAAAACTCATACCTAAAAAGAAGTCTCAAAGCTTTCTGAACTGGGTCACTTACACTGGAGTTCTTCAAGGAACAACCACTCAGTCAGGAAAGGTTTGAAGAAAAGGTCCGATCTTGAGACTTCATAGGAAAATCAGAGTATACTGTAATGGAACATGACTCATGGTGGCACATGACCTCCCTCTTGAGTGTGGCCTTGCCAAGGGGTTCATTTGGAGAGCTAGGTTGATTAGGTCCTTTGTTCTGTCTTGTGGAGCCAGGTCAAGATCCCAAAAAAAAAAAAAAAAAAAAAAAAAAACCAACTCACTATGTCTGCCTTGTTATAGCCAGACAGCATCCTAGAGAGGATATAATCTGACTATCCAGATATTCTTTCACCACCTAATTTCTCAATATGTATGCTACCAGGTAATGAGAGCCACCTAGCAGTGGCACAGGCTGATCTTGTTGAAACAAATAATCTTTTTGGCCACAGCTCCCACTCCAGCTAGCTTTTTATTAACCTCCACAATTCAGGAAGGGAGTAAAGGGGGTAAAATGCTACCTATAATATTATTCATTCAGCCTATAGCATATATACATCAGGAATATTCCAGCAAGTTATCAGTAAATTATTGGATCAGTACAGAATGGTTTAAAAATATGACCCAGCTATATTCTGCTTACCAGAAACTCACTGATCTATAAGGACACACATAAACTGAAAGTGAAAGGATAGTCTGAGACATTCCATGCAAATGGAACCCAAAAGAAAGCAAGAGTAGCCACACTTTTATCAGATAAAATAGACTTAAAATCAAAAGTTGTAAAAAAAGACAAGGAATGTCATCATAAAATGATCAAGGGTTCAATCCAGCAAGAGGCAATACATTCTAAAAATATATGCACCCAATATTGGAGCACCAAAATATATAAAACAAATATTAATAGACTTAAAGGGAGAGAGAGTCCAATACAATAACAGTAGGGCACTTTAACCTCTCACTTTTAAAATGGAGGCTGAGAGGAAATCAACAAGTAAAGAGCAGATTCAAATTCAATTGAATCTAACAGATATTTACAGAATATTTGATACAACAATTGCAGAATACACAATCTTCTAGCAAAATATGTAACATTCTCCAGGGCAGGTCATATGGCAGGTCATAAGAAAAGTATCAAAAATTTTTAAAGAATAGAAAATTATATCAAATACCTTTTCTGACCTCAATGCAATAAATCCATAATGAAAGCTACCCACATACATAGAAAATAAACAACTTACTCCTGAACAATCAATTGATCCAGAAAAAAATTAAGAAGGAAAATTTAAAATTTCTTGAAATGGTTGGAAATGGAAATACAACAAACCAAAACCTATGAGATGTAGGATAAGCAATACTAACAGGAAGTTTATAACAATCAATGATTATGTAAAAAAGAAGAAAGATCTCAAATAAACAACTTATCACTGCACCTTAAGGACTTAGAAAAATGAGAACAAATCAAACCCTACCGTAGTAGAAAAAGGGAAGTAATAAAACTCAGAGAAGAAACAAATAAATATGCATTTAAAAAACTATATCAAAAAATCAATAAAATGAAGAGCTGGTTCATTGAAAAGATAAGCAAAATTGGCAAGTCCTGAGCTAGACTTAAAAAAAGAGAGGCCGGTGCCGCGGCTCACTAGGCTAATCCTTCACCTGCGGCGCTGGCACCCTTGGTTCTAGTCCCGGTTGGGGCGCCGGATTCTGTCCTGGTTGCTCCTCTTCCAGTCCAGCTCTCTGCTGTGGCCAGGAAGTGCAGTGGAGGATGGCCCAAGTGCTTGGGCCCTGCACCCACATGGGAGACCAGGATAAGCACCTGGCTCCTGGCTTCAGATCGGCGCAGCGCGCCGGCTGTAGCAGCCATCTGGGGGGTGAACCAACGGAAAAGGAAGACCTTTCTCTCTGTCTCTCTCTCTCACTGTCTGACTCTGCCTGTCAAGAGAGAGAGAGAGAAGATTTAAAGAGATAAAAAAGGGAGAATTATAACGGAACCCATAGAAGTAAAAAGGATTATTACAAGTTATTATGAGCAAGTATGGGGCAACAAATCAAGTATAGGGCAACAAATTTGATAACCTAGAAAAATGGACAAATCTCTGAACACATATACTTTATCAAGACTGAATCATGAGGAAATAGAATATCTTAACAGACCAATAATGAGTTGCAAAATTGAAGCATTAATAAAAACCTCCAATCACAGAAAATTCAAGGATCAGATGATCTTACTGCTGAATTCTACCAGATATTTAAAGAAGAATAAGGGACAGGTATCTGGCACTGTGGTTAAGATGCCACTTGGGATGCCCACATCCCACGTCAGAGTACCTGGGTTTGAATCCTGGCTTTGCTTCTGAATCCAGTTTCCTGTAAATTACCACCCTGGGATGCAGAGGTGATAGCTAAGTACTTGGATCTATCTAGACACCCTAGAAGTAAACTGACACATCTACAACCAAACTGATCTATGACAAATTTGCTAAAAACATACATTGGAAAAGGATAGTTTTTTCAATAAATTGTGCTGGCAAAATTGTATATCCACAGAATGCAGAATAATTAACCTAGACCCCTATCTCAGAATGAATTAAAGATCTAAATGTAAGACATTTAGGGGCAGGCATTGTGGCCCTTGGCTCCTGGCTTCAGATTGGCTCAGCTCTGGCTGTTGCAGCCATTTGGGGAGTGAACCAGCAAATGGAAGACCTCTTACTCGGTGTCTCCCTCTCTCTGTCTGTAACTCTTCCTCTCAAATAAATAAAACAAATCTTTAAAAAAAAGTCTGCCTCACAAAGGAAACAATCAACAGAGTGAAGAGACAACATACAGAATGGGAGAAAATACTTGCAAGTTATACATCTGACAAGGAATTAATAACCAGAATATATAAGAAACTCAAGCAATTCAATAGCACAACAACCATATAATCCAATTTAAAAATGGTCAATACAGGGACTGGTGCTGTGGCATAGTGTGTAACATTGCTGCCTGAAGTGCCAGCATCTTATATGGGTGCTGATTTGAGTCCCAGCTGCTCCACTTCTGATCTAGCTCTCTGTTATGGTCTGGGAAAGCAGTAGAAGATGGCCCAGGTCCTTGGGCCCCTGCACCCACATGGGAGACCCAGAAGAAGCTCCTGGCTCCTGGATTTGGATAGGCACAGCTCCAGTTGTTGTGGCTATTTGTGCAGTGAACCAGCAGATGAAAGATATTTCACCTCTCTCTTGCTCTCTCTCTCTACCTCTGTCTTTCAGATGAATTAATAAATCTTTTAAAAAATGGTCAGTACATTTATTTATTTATTTATTTAATTTATTTAATTTATTTATTTATTTATTTTGACAGGCAGAGTGGACAGTGAGAGAGAGAGACAGAGAGAAAGGTCTTCCTTTGCCGTTGGTTCACCCTCCAATGGCCGCCGCTGCTGATCCGATGGCAGGAGCCAGGAGCCAGGTGCTTTTCCTGGTCTCCCATGGGGTGCAGGGCCCAAGCACCTGGGCCATCCTCCACTGCACTCCCTGGCCACAGCAGAGGGCTGGCCTGGAAGAGGGGCAACCGGGACAGAATCCGGTGCCCCAACCGGGACTAGAACCCGGTGTGTCGGCGCTGCAAGGCGGAGGATTAGCCTAGTGAGCCGCGGCGCCGGCCTATGGTCAGTACATTTAAGTAGATATTTCCCAAAGGAAAACCTACAAATGGCCAATAAGTGCATGAAAAAATGTTCAACATCATTAATCATCAAGGAAATACAAATCAAAACTTCAATGAGATATCATCTTGCCCCAGTTAGACTAAAGTTTGATAACCAAAGTTATCAAAAAGATGAAAGATATAAGTATTGGTAAGAATATGGAGAAAAAGAACCTTGTATATTGTCAATGGGAATGTAAATTAGTATAGCTGTTGTGGAAAGCAGTATGGAGTTTCCTCAAAAACTAAAAGTAGAACTACCATATGGCCCAGCAATTCCACTGCTGGGTATATATACAAGGGAAATTAAATCTGTCAAAGAGACATCTGCACGATTCACAATAGCCAAGAAAGGGAAACAACTCGTGTCCATCCATTGATCACTGGATCAAGAAAATGTGGTATAAACACAATGGAATATTACTCATGAAATTTTGTCATTTTTAGCAACATGGATGGAATTAGAGGTTATTATGTTAAGTGAAATAATTCAAGCACACAAACAAGAATCCCATTATTTCACTTATTTGTGGATCCTAAAGAATAAAAGGTGACCTGACAGAAGGTAAAAGTACAAGAGGCTGGGCAGGGAAAAGAGAGGGAGATATCAGATAAGGTTGATTAACAGGTCCTAAGTTATAATTACATAAGAGTAAGATGTTCTAGAGGTCTATTGCACAGTAGGGCAATGATAGATAATATATATTTCTCTATAAAAAAGAAAAAAATGGAAAGGATTTTGAATGTTTTCATCAAAAAGAAATGTTAAATGTTGGAAAAGAGAGATATTTTTACCTTGATTGGACATTATGCAGTGTGTACAAGTATCAAAACATTACATGATAGCCCATAAATAGGTAGACTTTTTATGTATTGCTTAAAAATAATTTTTTACATTTCAAAAAAAGAAAAAAAATGAGTTTTTTTCCTTACTGATTTTAGAGGCACTTTATATAGTCTGAATATAAATCTTTTGGCAGATGTAAATATTTGTGTGTCTTCTTCCAGTAATTTATGACTTGAATTTTCACTGTCAATGATATATATTTTTAATAAACAGAAATTCTTAGTTAATGAAGCACAATTTATCAATTTTAAAAATCAGTTGTCCATTTTTACTTTCTAGCACTATAATTTCTTAACATACAAAATACAAAGTATTTTTAGAAAAAGTACTACTTTTTAACATTCTTTACACAACAACAGTCTGAGTCTGTGGCATGTTAATGCAGTCGAGAGGCAAAACATACTAAATTTTGCAAATTCTACCTCCCATAAAAAGTCTTTCAGAAAAGGACCTTACGTGTTATTATAAAAATACCAACCTCTTGTGGGATTAGAGAACCATGAGAGCATATTAACTGCACTGGTGGCTTGGGAGTGTTCTGTGCTGCTAGTTCCCAAGACTGGCATCCGGATGATCGAATTAATTCTCCTCAAAGATTGGTGAGCATAGTGAAGTCTGAGGTAGACTTTGATACCTTAAATTTTGTGAATATTATTCATATATTCTTATCTACTTAGTCTCTTGATTTTTGAAAAGATTTCACCTGCAGTAAAATATTATAGATACAAAATATAAATGCATGTCTGAAAGAGAATTCTCTTAAATAAATATATAGTATGCAGGTAGATGAAGCAGAAAACTATGAGGTTTCTCAGCTGAAAGGAATATTTGAATAACCATTGAAATGGGAATCTTAAAGTAACAGGAAAGTGGCTAAAAACTCTCTTAGAGTGCCAAACAGGGAAACTAAAAACTCCTTTGTGGTGCTGGCCCTGTCACCTGAAGCTCAGCCGCCCACCCCATGTCAAAAAATAAAAGGACTGAGTGTAGAAGAAAACAGAACCTTCAAGATTGAAATATTTTTGGAGACAAAAGATATGTTTCTACTAAAAGATATGGACAAGGTTGCTCACAAACAAGAAGGCATTACTGCTATGTCAGTAAAAGAAGTCCTCCGAAGTTTAGTTGATGATGGTATGCTTGTGCGAGGGTTGGAATGTCTAATTGGGCTTTTCCCAATGAAGCTATGCATGACAAGGAAATCTAAGTTGGAGGTTATGGAATCTCAGTTGTCTGAGGGAAACCAGAAGCATGCAAACCTACAGAAAAACATTTAGAAAGCTAAAACTGGCTGACATGAGATGGAAGAACAAACCATGATAGCCAAAGAAAAGGGGGGGGGGGACAAAGCGGGTGGAAATAGAAAAATACTAAGAATGTGACCCACAAGTTGTAGAAGAAATACATCAAGCAAATAAAGAAGCTGCTAACAGGTGGATTGGTAACATGTTTGCAATAAAATCTTGAGCCAAAAGAAAATCTGTATTGAAAGAAAATAAAATTGATAAAAATTTTGGAATCCCAGAAGTCTGTATCTTATGTAGAATCTATTAGTGACAATAAGCTTGATATGTTTGAGTGTGTAATGGGACTAGAAAGGACACTTTTATCCTTTCTTGCTTTAGGAGCTGAATATGATGATCAGACCAGCCAAAGGGAGAAAGAAGATGATAAAATCTTTCCTGGTGAGAGTCATACCTATGTCTGGCAGGTCCTGAAAGAAAATGGTCCAATGGCCTCTGACCCACCATGTCTCACCTACTCATATCTTTCTCATGTGGACTTGGTGAAAGACCTGAATTCAGGTCTGATTGGAGCCTTGCTGGTATGTAGAGAAGGTAAGTGTAAAAAGCATATGATTTTGTTCAATAACCCTAAAGGTCTGTGGGGATGGGGATTGTTAGGAGCTACAAGTGATTGTTTTCATCATCCAACTGTAACGCCAACCACAGATTTTCTTTCTGACAATGGGGTGCAGGATTGAAAGTCAAAGATTAGGGTTGAAGACTCAGCTCTGTGATTTGGTCAAACTATATAAATTCCCCTAACCTTGGTTTTCAGTGTGTGGTTTATCATTTCTAGCTTTGTTTGTAAATATTAAATAAAATAATTTTTGTTAGAAAAAAAGCATATGATTGAGATGAAAAAGGCAGATAAGTATAAGCAACTGGATATATTCATAACAGTATTTGTGTTCTTTCACCAGAAAGAGGCTTCTTTCTCCTAGCATCATGTTCATGGAAAGTAGACTAATTTCTGAGAGAAAAGGTTTTCTATTCTATGTGACCACAATGACCTCTAATCTTGTGTCAAGAGCAGCCAATTCCATAATTAGGTTTCTGCTTGCAAAACATTGATATTTTCCACTTCAAATCTGTTAGATGTCTTATTAGTTATTTCTATTGCTGTCTTCCTTTTGCGAATTTTGGACTAGGTTCCTTGGGAGCTTCACGGAGGTGAGCACAGCCGTGTGTACAATCAATAGCATAAAGACTGATTCGGGTGGTTAGTTTCTCATCTGTAAACCAAAAGTATATAAAAATATGAGAAAAGTAGACATTTATTTATATTTAATACAATATTTTAATATTGTTTAATTCAAGTCTTTTTTAATTATAGATTAACAGCATAAACTAAATTAAGAAGCATGTTTTGTATAATTTGTTTTTATTCTTATTTCTTTATAAGGGTGATATCAACTTCAGTGACATTTTCTTGTTCCAGCTACAATTTAGTTGCTTATAACAATAATCACTTATTATTTTTTACAGTTTTGTGGGTCTCATGAAATTTGTAAGTGTCTTGTCTTAGTGGCCTTTTTCAAGGTGTTTCCTGAAGTTATACTCAAAAAGTGGCTAAGATCATCCCTGTATTAGTCAGGTTTTTATTACTATAGCAAAATATTGGAGGCAAGATGCTTGAAAAATGAAAAAAGGTTCAATTTCATTCAACAATCTGGAAGTACAAAATTGAGGGGCTGCATCTGATGATAACTTTTTTATGGCAGAGTCCAGAAGCATCCAGAGCATCACATGGTGAGAGACAGAGAGAGAGTGTTTGTGTTCTCCCTCTCTCTCTCTCCTTCTCTCCTTCTCTCTCTCTCTCTCTCTCTCTCTCTCTCTCTCTCTCTCATTATAAAGCCACCAGGATTCAATTGCCAAACATGCAGAGAAACAGGAAGTCTCATACACAGAGATAACTTGGCAATTGACCTCAAGCAATGGAAACTTATCTTTGCATAAAAACATGTATACAACTGTTTGTGGCAGTTTTATTCATAATCGATCAAACTGTCAACACCTAAATGTTAAACAAACTGTGGTACATCCAAAACATGGAATACTACTCAGCAACAAAACAAGATGAAGTAATTCGGCTTCTTGAACCTCTATGTTTGTTAAGTCATAAACTTACTATATGATAATTAAAGATAAAATAAAAATAATCAGACTTTTCAGGCAGTTTCCTATGTATTCTACAATTTTAAATTTGTATGGGTTAAAGCATTGAAGTTCTTTGAAAGCCAGAAAGGTTGCATGAATGTGAGAGGTTAAGTCCAGTCACCCCTTGTTAGCTCTTGCTAAGCCATTGGGACGCAAATGGTTTTACTCTGCACCTGATAAAATTGGGCTCAAGCAAACCAACCCTGAGTTTGCCAGCTTGACTCTGCCTTTTACAGCTCCTTGCCAGGTACTATGGGTCTTTCAGAATAGGCGGCCCTGTCCCAGGTACAGAGCATAGGGCAGTAGGGGCGGGGTGGGGAGAGGAAGGCTGAAGCCTTAACTTTACTATGCTGTCCTTTCTACAAAATGTGATTCCTATCTTGATCAGCTGTGTGTGCACCGTCTTTGGAAAGTGCCTGGATCTTAACCTTAATAGCCCTCATCTGAAGCTTTGTGACTGAGCTTTAAATTGAGGTTGTTTTCCTGTGTCAAAGTGCTTTAACTTAGTGAAGAATGGAATATTTCATTTGTATTGACAAGGTCTCAAACATTTCTAACAGGTTATGATTGCAGAGAACAAGAGTCTGTGCAGTTGCCAGTGTGTCCTTGAGTGTTGTTAACCTTGCAGCTTTCTCTGCATCTCCTATTGCAGCATGTATTTGTTACTTTCTTAATCAAAGGAAATTTTTATTTCTAAGCAGACAGGGTACAAGAGAGACATTCTTTCTCAAAATCTCCCAATCAAATTAATATGATACTTACAAAGACAAATTCAGCAATTAAATCATAAAGCAAGCTCAGTTATCACCAAAAACTTTAAAAATAGAAACATATACTCACTGGAAATGTGGGTGTACATGTTTAATCTGGACAGTTGTATTTCAGCTGTAACTTTTGTTTATTTATAGTTGCAGGAGTATAAAAAAGTTACAAAAGAAATAGGAGTTCTTTGAACTAATTACACATAGGCACATTTTCCATAATTTTTTTCTTTTTCTGTTATAATGTGTATGTGATTATATGGGCTTGTATTTTGCACATCTTTTCAATTTCATTCTTTAATAATTTGCGTTAATCTATTGTGCAAAAGTAGTGGTTTACAACAAATTTGAAATTTAAGTAGATAACATTTTATCCCACGTACTTTTAGAAAGACTGATATTGGAGACCTAATAGAGAAACAGTGTTATGGCAAAGTTAAGAAGAGACAAAAAACTCAATTTGCAAAACAAAAAAATTCAATTTGCGCTTATGCTCAAGCAGTTGTTGAAGGATGTCTCCTCCTAGAGGCAATTTCCTGTAATAGGATTTTAAAGTAGAACATAAAATTCTCACTTCTTTTTCAGGGAGTCTGGCCAAAGAAACAACACAGATCTTGCATGAATTTGTACTTCTTTTTGCTGTATTTGATGAAGGTTCGTGAACTTCAAAATGAATTTTGTGTCTGTTTCCTAAAATGAAAATAATAACCTGAAACTTACAAATGCATGCTGCATATAGGTACAATTACTGTGTGTCAATGAAAATATTATATGTAAGTAAAATTGAAATAATAACATTTTTGACAGCATTGTTGTGAGGATTGAGCAATAAGTGATTTTTTAAGTAATATAGAACACTATGGAGCACAGTGTAGGCCCTCAATACTGCTAGTACTTCTGCCCCTCCTCTTTCTACACAATTATTGACAACATCATGATCTTCTCCTCTCCCAATATATCCACCTACACTGCCGCCTTCTTAATGTCACCTCTCCTAACATTCTACTTTCACTACAGCAGATAGAGGAAGTTGACCAAAGCATGTACCTGGTCTTGTCCCCTAGTCCTACAACTCTTCAGTTTGACCTCTGACATTTCCAGCCTCAGTGAGCTCCTATTCCTGCCTTACCTTTCATCTAGACCTTTGCTTAGGTAGGTTCGTCTTTACAAAGAGCCAATCCTCTCCTTTCCTTATTTCATCCCTCCTGCTCCTTAATTGCCTCTCCCAGGATGATCTCCAGTCCAGTTTATCTGCCCATTTTCTACATTTCCACATCATTTTGAGCGTGTTCCTTATCATGCCATATCATTCTTGTCTATTTATTTAATGTTTATCTTCTTTGACTTCATATCTTTTTCGCTTCAACTTCCTTCTCTGCTCCTGTCACAGCCCACTGTCACATATCCTGTACCACTCTGTGTTGTAGTGGTCAGTTTATTTATCTGTCTATTCAGGCTAGAGTGGAAACCGCATGAAGGCAGCAACTGTGTCCTCTCAGTCATCAGTGCTGCTCTTAGCAATCCTCAGTAAATGTGTTTCAATGACAGAATAAATGAATCTGAAAATGGCTAATGAAACTTAGGAGAATTGCCTAGCAGCTGAGTGCTTCAGCGAGTACCTCCATGCAAAGGGGTAGCTTCAAGAAGCAACTTTCCAATAATATTTGCAGTGCTTGTTAATTTCAGAGAGGACAGTTGGGAAGCTTTCAGATTGCTGGGGTTTCATTACCACAGGGACAGGTACTGATAAACCATTGTTTCCTAGGAAGATTTACATCTGCTTCCTTTGAATAAATCTGCTAATAAATAAAAGTAAACCCTCTTGGTTCCCACTGAACTCTTCCTTCCAGTTATTACTTGTCATTATCCCTCCCCTTCTATTTTCATGGATGAAATATGAGGGAGGACACTTCAAAAAGCTCATATAAAAATGGAATTAAAAGATAAGTTCACTTTGGTACAAACAATTTTTGAAATCCATGTACAGTTTTTTAGAATACATATTTTCTGAAAACTTTTTGAAGACCCCTCCACAGGAAGAGAGAATCAGTTTGAACAAGGCATATCTGCCTTTCACTAATTGTCTTCTCCTTCACTGACAAAAATGCTTAAAGGTGTGAGCCATCTTTGCCCCAGTGCAGAGCTAAACTGTTTTTTGCTCCCTCTCTCATCAGGAAAAACTTGGCACTCAGGAACTCCAGCTATGGATTCTGCATCTGCTCAGGCATGGCCTAAAATGCACACAGTCAATGGCTATGTCAACAGGTCTCTGCCAGGTATGTAGTGCAGGTTCAGCGATCCTTAGGTTTTTCTGAGTTCAACACCAGAGATATTCTCTCCAGCTCTCAGACAGCTCTGCACTCCAGAGGAAAGCTCACTAAATCCTGGCCTCTTAGGGCTCTTAAGGTATAGTGGACAATTCTTCTTTCAGGCATCTGAAAATGAAGGTTGCTCATGTACACAGAGATCATAATCAGATTTATTTTTCTTTGTGCTGAAAATATAAATGACCAATCAAGGGTGAAATGATACTTAAGGAGACCTTGAAATATGAAAGGGATATGCCAAGGTAAATAAAATAATAATCCTAGAGGAAAAAGCAGTAATGCTTGTAACAGAGCTTCTCAAAAGCTCTGATGAGATTTTTCATAAGATTCAAGAAGGTACTATATCCATAAATTGACAATAGGATTTTATGAAAAGTTACATCAATAAAATGACAATAGGATTTTTTAAGGACTTTTTTATTTATTTGAGAGGTAAAGTTACAGTTAGTGAGAGGGAGAGACAGAAAGGTTTTCCTTCCGTTGGTTCACTCTTCAAATGGCCACCACAGCCAGAGCTGTGCCGATCCGAAGCCAGGAGCCAGGAGCTTCTTCTAGGTCTCCCACATGGGTGCAGGGGCCCAAGGACTTGGGCCATCTTCTACTGCTTTCCCAGGATACAGCAGAGAGCTGGATTGGAAGAGGAGCAGCCAGGACTAGAACCGGCTCCCATATGGGTTGCTGGCACTACAGGTGGGGAATTAATCTACTGTGCCATGGCGCTGGCCCTGACAATAGGATTTTATGAAAAACAATCAATACAATAATCTGCTGATAAAAATCAGAAATACTATTGTGTAGTGGATTAAGCTACAACCTGTGATGCCAACATCCCATATGGGCACGTATTTGAGTCTCAGCTGTTCTACTTCTGATCCAACCCACTGCTAATGGCCTGAGAAAGCAACAGAAGATATCCCATGTTCTTGGGCCCCTGTATCCACATGGGAGACATGGAGGAAGCTCCTGGATTCTGGCTCTGGCCTGGCCCATCCCTGGCATCTCTCTCTCTCTGGCACCTCTCTCTCTCTCTCTCTCTCTCCCCAACTCTGCCTTTCAAATAAATAAATAAATCTTGAAAAAGAAAGAAATGCAATTGTCAAATTAAAAACTCAATAGAAGGTAGGTAAAATACAGAAAATCTCCCATAAAGTAAAACAAAAATAAAAGAGCTTGAGAATATATCTTAAAACAGACTTAAAAATTAAACAGAGGTGGGCATTTGGCCTAGTGGATAAGATGCTGGTTAAAATGCCTGTGTCCCACACTGGGGTGCCTGGGTTTGAGTCTTGGCTCTGTGTCCTGATTCCAACTTCCTGCTAATTCACACCTTAGAAGGCAGCAGGTGATGACTCAAGGAATTTGACTCCTGACACCCACGTGGAAGACCTGGATTGAGTTCCTGGCTCCTGAAGGTGTCAGCTGGGCCCAGCCCGGCCCAGCCCAAGCTGTTGCAGGCATTTGGAGAGTGAATGAATGGCTAGGAGAGTGCTCTTCTTTCTCTCTCTACCCCTGTGTGTGTGTGTACCTCTTAAATAAAATAAAATAATTTTTTAAAAATGATAGAATTAAAATGTCCATAATTAGAAGACACGTGTGCTCATATTAAAATTTCCCATGAGAATAAATAAATAACAAAAAGATCTCCAAAATTATCATTGTGGCATTTCAAACACAGCACAAAGAGAAGATACTTAAAGTTTCTCCTCAGAGAAATAGGTGATGTGCAAAGGAACAGGAATTAAACTGACAATTTGTAGTCAAACTATGAATCAGCTTTGGGGGAAGAATAAAAATATTTTTAGAAATGAGAGGCCTTAGAAGCCACTGGATATATACTACAGAGCATATGAAGCATATGGAATAATCAGGAATGAGAGAATAATGATGGATGAGGAGAGATACTTTCTTCTCATTTTCTGCATTTTCTAGTAATTCCAGAATTAATGTGCATAATTTTAGAATTAGGAAAAACAATTGTGATTATATATATTTTTATTTAATTGACATTAAAATTATATCTATTTATGGGGCATCATGGGCTTTTTTGATACATGTGCACATTTATAATGTTCAATTCAGGGGAAGCATATCTATCTCCTTAGACATGGTGAAAACATTCAAAATCCTTTCTTGTACCTTTTTTGATAGACAAATATACATCACATTGCTATTAACTGTAGTGACCCTACTATGCAATAGAATACCAGAGCTGCTTTCTCTGATCTGTGACTTAGTACTCCTTAACCAACCTTTATTCATCCTTCCCTCTCTCCCTCCCTCCCTCAGACACACACAAACACACACACACACACACACACTCCTCAGCCTCTGGTAACCCTCATTGTACTCTTAACTTGTATGAGATCATTTTTTAAGATATGAAATCATGCAGCACTTGTCTTTCTGCACGTGGATTTAATATATTTAAACATAAAAGTCCTTCCTATCACATAGCTTGTAGTATAATGGAGAGACAGATAGTAATCAATTAACTATAATAATAAACACAAAAATTATGAAATAGCAATTACCATGAAGGAATACATAATTCTCTGAAAGTGAATAAAAGGAATCTAACCTAGATTGGGGAATCAGAGAAGGCATCTCTGAGGAAAACGCTACTTTAATGAGGTTTGAAACAGGGTTGGTAACAGGGAAGTGAGGCTATGTGAGATGAGATTGGAGAGGGATCAAGAATCAAAATAATCAGGGCCTTTTAGCCCTTAATGGAGAATTTTGACATTACGTTAAATGACAGCCTCTGACAAGTTTAGAGTGGAGGATATTACAATCAGATCTGAAATGCAAAAATATTGTACCAGTTTCCTTGTGAGTAAAGACTTGAAAGGGAATAAGACCAGATGTGGAAAGACCAATGAAGTTATTTCAGTGGTTTAGACAAGGTATAATGATAGCTTGGATTAAGGTGGTGGTATTGTTGATTATGAAAATATATATATTCAAAAATTTTAAAAGCCAAAATAGGAGACAGCTGTCAGCAGTTTGCAGTGTGGGAACTAAACTTACAGCTGCATGCATTATTAATTATATTGCCTATGGTTGATATTATATAGGTTATAAGAGTTGAGAATCGGGCCAGCGCCGTGGCTCACTAGGCTAATCCTCTGCCTTGCGGCGCCGGCACCCCAGGTTCTAGTCCCGGTCGGGGCGCTGGATTCTGTCCCGGTTGCCCCTCTTCCAGGCCAGCTCTCTGCTGTGGCCAGGGAATGCAGTGGAGGATGGCCCAAGTACTTGGGCCCTGCGCCCCATAGGAGACCAGGATAAGTACCTGGCTCCTGCCATCGGATCAGCGTGGTGCGCCGGCCGAAGCACGCCGGCCGCAGCGGCCATTGGAGGGTGAACCAATGGCAAAAGGAAGACCTTTCTCTCTGTCTCTCTCTCTCACTGTCCACTCTGCCTGTCAAAAATAAATAAATAAATAAATAAAGAGTTGAGAATTGTGACAAGGATAACTCTTACTTGCAAATTTGGTTTTAGAAATGTGGATTTTTATGAGATATCCAGGTGGAGATGTTGAGAAGGTAATTGTATACATCTGAAGTTCCATGAGAAGTCAGGAAAGAAATAGAAAAAGGAGCAGTCTGAACATTACAGGAACAAGATCTAAAATAATGTTGGCTGAAAGACCAAGGGGAGAGAATTTCAAGAAGGAATGTCTCTTGGTTACCTTGGTAAGAGCTGTTGGTTTAATAGCCCCAATTTCCTTGGGTAAGTTTCTTTACAAGTCAAAGTAATAAAATTTCAAATGTTCTACCTCATAGTCATAGCTGTCCTGTTCTTACTTTGCAGGTCTGATTGGATGCCACAGAAAACAGGTGTACTGGCATGTGATTGGAATGGGCACCACCCCTGAAGTACATTCAATATTCCTTGAAGGTCACACATTTCTTGTGAGGAATCATCGTCAGGCTTCCTTGGAGATCTCACCAATAACTTTCCTCACTGCTGAGACACTCTTGATGGACCTTGGACAGTTTTTACTTTTTTGTCATATCTCTTCACATCAACATGGTAATGTCTTGGATCTCAAACATGAGTATTGTAAATATTCATCTCTACTTTTATGGAATTTACTGGATGTGTACAGGGGGTAGTGTGTTGCAGAAGATGCCATTTATAGAATTAAATTTTATGTTGAATGTCAGAAGGTATTAGTATTCATAGTGACTATGGATTTCTAGTTAAATGCTACTGATAAAGGAAGGCAGAGTGGTTTAGAGATGAATGAGGTAGGGAAAATACTATGGAGAGGGGGACTTTAGGTTGCAGTTGAAGAGGTGTGCGTCAGAAATCTAGGGAAAAAGAACACTGCCTATGTTTCAATTGTAAGAGCTTCAGGATATCAGTAGTGATGTCCAGAGCAGTAAATAGCAAATACAGGGGATAGCATAGTGTTCGGTATGAAACACAGACAGCTGAGGTGCTTCTTAGCTACCTGGTAGGCAATAAGAGGAACCTGGAAAACTAAGAGTATATCAAGAGATAGTGGATGCTGGAAGAAACATCAGAGCAGAACTTTGTCAGCATATGTGAGGCATCACATAAGGTTTTTAAGGATTACATGGGGCCAGCGCTGTGGTGTGGCAGGTGAAGCAGCCACCTGCGGTGCCAGCATCCCATATGACTGCTGGTACGAGTCCCGGCTGCTCCACTTCCAATCTCACTCTCTGCTGTGGCCTGGGAAAGCAGTGGAAGATGGCCCAAGTCCTTGGGCCCCTGCACCCATGTGGGAGACCTGGAAGAAGATCCTGGCTCCTGGCTTTGGATCAGCCCAGCTCCAGCTGTTGCTGTCAGTTGGGGAGTGAACCAGCGGATGGAAGCCCTCTCTCTCTTTCTCTGACTCTCTTTCTCTCTGTGTAACTCTTTCAACTAAATAAAATAAATCTTAAAAAAAAAAAAAAGAAAACAGCAAGTGACACATGACAACCCACATACTGATAAAAAAAAAAAAGGACTACATGATGAGGGTTTTGCAAAGGGTCAAAGGCCTTATGAAAGCTAATCTGGGTAATGGTATCTACAGTTCAAATTATTGTTAATGTGACTTCATTTGTAGCTACCAGCTGTGCAAATTCAGATCACATCATCATTTCACCCCCATCTTTCTTCATGTGCATTTACTTGACTAACTCTTAATCTCAGAGCATTCTAATATCCCTGTTTCTCCACTCCTCTTTTATGATCATTGAAGGCTGTCAGAGCCAATTTATGATATATCACAGACTGGGTAACTTGTAATGTACTTAAATTTATTGGTTCACAGTTCTGGAGGCTGTGAAGTCCAATATCAAGATGCTGGCATCTGGTAAGGGCCTTCTTGCTCTCATAACGTGGCAGAAAGGCAAAGAAAGGGAAAGAGAAAACAAAAACAGAAAGCACACTCCCAAGATCAAAAAAAAAAAAAACTTTCTCCACAGATAATAGTATTAGTCTGTTCATGAGGGTGGAGTATCTGATTTTCAATCTGTTACATATTTATGGGACTTTGTCAAGACATGAGGGCACAAAGATTGTCATACTCAATGACAATGGCCTGAGACGTGTGAATAAGAAGTTGCTGCAGTAACAAAAATCCTGAAGATTGGTCACTGTCCACTTTGAGCCTGATTCAGTTTAAAAAGAGATTATTGTTTCTTTTGTTTTATGCTTTTTGCAGCTTCTCTACCCTAATTTGAATCCTCATTTTCCAGAAAAATGCTTCATATTATTGGGCCTCAGATGAAACCTTTTATTTTTTTAAAAAAATATTTGTTGAAAAAAAATATTTGTTGAAAATTTAATTGACATATAATACTTGTATATTTTATGGGATACAGTGCTATACCTCAACACATATACACAACATAAACCAATCAAACTATGTAACTAACATTCCCACAAAATTCTTCATTTTTATATCCATATTGTATTATGTTTAAGGACCAGTTGCTTGTGGTTCACAAAATCTTCATTGTTCCCCATAATCCAGTTAACAGATCTCTCATCATAGATGTATGAGGAGTCTTCAAATGGCTCATGTAATATGTGTATTATGAAACAATTATGCATGGATTTCAAATTTTTTTAAATAAAATTAAACTTTTAAAAATATTTATTGATTTTCATTTTGTTTCAAAAAGAGAGAGAGGGGCAAGTGCTGTGGTGTAGTGGGTAAAGCCACCACCTACCGTGCCAGCATCCCATATGGGTGTTGGTTCGAGTCCCAGCTGCTCCTCTTCAAATCCAGCTCTCTACTATGGCCTGGGAAGGCAGTAGAAGATGACCCAAGTCCTTGGGCCCCTGCACTGGAGTGGGAGACCCAGAAGAAGCTCCTGGCTCCTGGCTTCATATCAGCCCAGCTCTGGCCATTGTGGCCATTTGGGGAGTGAACCAGTGCATGTAAGACCTCTCACTCTGCCTCTGCCTCTCTGTAGTTTTACCTTTCAAATAAATAAATAAATTTCTAAAAAAAAAATAGAAAGGGAGAGAGAAAGAGAAAGAGAAAGAGAGAGAGAGAGAGAGAGAGAGAGAGAACCTTCCCATCTACTGGTTCACTCTCCAAATTCCTACAACAGCCAGAGCTGGACCCAGGCTGAAGCCAGGAACTGGGAAATCCATGGGTCTCCCATGTTGGGTGGCAGGGACCCAAGTACCTGAGCCATCACCCACTGCTTTCCAGGGTGCACATTAGCAGGAAGCTACATCAGAAATGGAGGAAGCAAGACTTGAACCAAGTTTTCCAGTATGGAAAGCAGGCATCACAAGCAGCAGTTTAACTACTTGTGCCAAATGCCTGCCCAGAAACTCATTTTTAAATTCTATTCTTCCATTAAATTTTTGAAGTACCCTCATACTTGTTATTCAAAATAGCATATTACCTTAAAACATATAGCATTTTTTTAATTTTAAGTTTCATTTTTCATGTATTTATGACATTATAATGTGTCTTGAAATTTATACCTACCTGCATATTTCCTGATAAGATGTTATCAATTATTTTTAAGAGATAAAGAAGTCAGAAATGGACATTTCAAGATTTGATTTATTGTTTATAGCCCTTGTGTATACTCCTGAGGAACAGTAGTTTTTCTTTCTTTTTTAAAAAAGATTTATTTATTTTATTTGAGAGTCAGAGACAGGAGAGAGAGAGAGAGATTTTCTTCCAGTAGTTCACTCCCCAAATGGCTGCAATGGCGGGAGCTGAGCCGAGCCGAAGCCACGAGCCAGGAGTTTCTTTCAGGTCTCCCATGCGAGTGCAGGGGTCCAAGCACTTGGTCCATCTTCTACTGCTTTTCCAGGCCATATCAGAGAGCTGGATCAGAAGTGGAGCAGCCGGAACTGGAACTGGCACCCACATGGGATGCTAGCACTGCAGGAGGTAGCTTTACCCACTACGCCACAGCACTAGCCCTGAACAGTAATTTTTCTACCTACTACTTGTTGGATTCTTTATTTAGTGGAGTTAGGTTTAGCTTGTGATTATAAAGTAAATTGAATGTAAAAACAAGAAAGGAAGAAGGAATGAGGGAAGGTTGGGTGGGAAATATAATTATGTTTTTAAAACTGTATATGAAAGATGTGAAATTTTTCCCTTTATATAAATTTTAAAAATTTAAAATAAAATAAAAAATAAGTTAAAGCCAGAAATCTAACTTTGTTTGGCTTATGTGACTCCAGATGGCATGGAAGCTTATATCAAAGTTGATAAATGCCCAGAGGAACCCCAACTGCGGATGAAAAATCATGAAGAAGAAGAATATTATGATGATGATGTTAAGGATTCTGAAATGGATGTGTTCAGGTTTGATGATGACAACTCTGCTTCCTATATCCAAATTCGCTCAGTTGCCAAGAAACACCCTAAAACTTGGATACATTATATTGCTGCTGAAGAGGAGGACTGGGACTATGCACCTTCAGTTGCCACACCTGATGACAGGTAAGCACCCTTTGACTTCTGGTACTATCTCTTCTCTTTACTCAAAAGGTTCTTCCAAGATATTCAAACCAACAAATCAGTAAAAGTTAGGCACAAGTATGGAATCAAATGGCAAGGGCATTAACATATTCAGAGATTGACACAGTTAAACATCAGCAATGCATTCTTCTCACTCCTTGCCTTGATCAAATCATATAGCTATTTTACAGTTGGATTTTATCCTACCTAGAGTTTTCCATCCCAATGTCTCAACTTTTTTTTCTGCCACATAGAAGTTATCAAAGTCAGTATTTGAATAATGGTCCTCAGCGGATTGGTAGAAAGTACAAAAAGGTCCGATTTATGGCATACACAGATGAAACATTCAAGACTCGTGAAACTATGCAATATGAATCAGGAATCTTGGGACCATTACTTTATGGAGAAGTTGGAGACACACTGTTGGTAAGTTGAAGTGTTTTGAGTTTTGAAATACTACATAATTCAGCTTTGTCTGCAATAGACATAACCTTTTAAAAATTATAAATGTTAGACAAATGTTGATGGTACTTTCAAATATGAATATATTTGGGGAGTAAATTTGCATCCAATGTCTGCAATGTCCAGGACTAAGCCAGGCCAAAGCCAGAAGCCAGGAGCTTCATCCAGGTCTCCCACAAGAGTACAGGGGCCCAAGCATTTGGACCATCCTCTGCTGCTTTCTCAGGTGCAATACCAGGTAGCTGGATCAGAAGTGGAGTAACTGGGACTCAAACCGGTCCCCATAGAGGATGCTAGCATTGCAGGTGGCTGAAACATTTTTTTTATGGGAAAGAGCCTTTAGGAGAAACCTAAGTTTCTGAATGAGCAATTTCATGAAAATAGCACTTTGAATTTTAGCTAGGCTTGACTTCCTATATTGCTGATGCATACAGGCAGCTTTTGTTTTTCTGGCGATAGGTCACAATTTTCTTGCTGATTCCAGTTGTCTTAGGACTTGATATTACATCTAATTTTTACTCTCAGATTATATTTAAGAATCAAGCAAGCCGGCCATATAACATCTACCCACATGGAATCACTGATGTCAGTCCTCTGCACTCAGGAAGATTGTCAAAAGGTAAGTATTCTTGCTGACACTCAACTATCACACAGCCTATTCAACTGGCATCTCTCCACTGCAACTAATACAAGTGTCCTAAAGTCTTGAGGCTGATTGCTTTGGCATATAAAGTCATATTTTTTTTCTCTGAATATAATTGTTGGCTGCCTCCATACTTTTGAAATCTAGTAATCTCTTTTGCATTTTAAAATTTATTTTAAGATTTAGTGATTTTTTTAACATTTTGCCACATGTACTTCATATGTAGATATATATGTACACATATATCATAAAGTGAGGAAAAATGGGTATATTGTCATGTAGATGGTATAATTATGAAGACATTATTTATAGCTATCTATATACCAAATAATGGGACATCCACACAATTTTTATGCTCTATGTATATTAACTTCTACATATAAGAGAAAATGTGATATTTGTCTTTTTGAATCTTGTTTCACAGCATAAAGATCTCCAATTCTATCCATTTTGTTGCAAATGTCAAGATTTCTTTGTTTTTATTGCTGAGTAATATCCCATTATATATATATATGTATGTCATATTTTCCTTATCCAGTCATCAGTTAATGGACAACTAGGTTCATTACATATCCTTGTTATTATGAGTTGAGCTGCTATAAACATAGGAGTATTCATATGTTGATTTCACTTGCTTTGGATATATTCCCAGGAGTAAGATGGCTGGGTCATACAGTAGAACCATTTTTAGTTTTTTTGAGGAATCTCCATACTATTTTCCATAATGGTTGTGTTAATTCGTATTCCCACCAACAGTGTATTAGTGCTCCCTTTTCTCTACAACCTCGCCAACACTTGTAATTTTTTGATATTTGGTTAAAAGCCACTCTAATTGGAGTGAGGTGATACTTCATTGTGGTGTTTATTTGCGTTTCCCTAGTGGTTAGTAATCCTGAGTGGTTTTTTTTTCATGTGTTTGTTAGCCATTTGTACATCTTTCTTTGAAAAATATCTATTCATATTCTTGATCATTTCTTAACTGGATTTTTTGTTTTGTTGTTAAGTTTCTCGAGCTCTTTATATATTCTATTTTTTTTTTTTTTAGCTGTTCATATGTCACCATATTTTTTTTAACTTTTATTTAATGAATATAAATTTCCAAAGTACAGCTTATGGATTACAATGGCTTCCCCCCCATAACGTCCCTCCCACCCGCAACCCTCCCCTCTCCCACTCCCTCTCCCCTTCCATTCACATCAAGATTCATTTTCGATTCTCTTTATGTCACCATATTTTTATTTTTATTTTTTATTTTTTTTTATCTTTTATTTAATGAATATAAATTTCCAAAGTACGACTCATGGGTTACAATGGCTTTCCCCCCCATACCGTCCCTCCCACCCACAACCCTCCCCTTTCCCACTCCCTCTCCCCTTCCATTCACATCAAGATTCATTTTTGATTATCTTAATATACAGAAGATCAGCTTAGGTCGGAGAACTCAGAGGGCTTCCATAGCCTTGGAAACTCATGACTGGTGCATAGGGAGATTATTGATGCCATAAACAGGAGTGTCAGTTTGTAAAGTCAACAACAGGAGTCACTGTGCACTTACTCCTCATGTAGGATCTCTGTCCTTAGTGTGCTGTGCCTGGGGCTTAATGCTATGACGAGGACTCAAACAGTTTATTTCACTTTGTGTTGTCTTATGGGGGGGCACACGAGTGGAGATCTTCACTTAATGGACACTAAACTGATCTTCTGTGAAAAAAAAAAAAAAAAAAAAGAAAGTATGAGTTCCCAACTTGACTCTCACTGAGATTAAACATGACAATAGGTCTGATCTGATTTAATCATGATTTAAAAAAAAATCATCTATTATTTTTCACTTTATGTTTCTGTGTGGGAACAAACTGTTGAAATCCTTACTTAAGGTATACTAAGCTGATCTTCTGTATATATTCTAGATGTTAATCCTTTATTAGATGCATGCTTCACAAAATTTTCTCTCATTCTGTCAGTTGTCTCTTCACTTTGTTAGTTGTTTCCTTTGCCATGCAGAATCTTCTTAGCTTGATGTAATCCCATTTGTCTATTTTTGCTTTTACTACCTGTGATTTTGGAGTCTTATCCAAAAAAATCTTTCCTTATGCTGATGTCTTGCATTGTTTTCCCTAAATTTTCTTCTAGCAATTTGATATCTTCAGGAATTGGGTTTAGACCCTTGATACATTTTGATTTGATTTTTTTGTATAAGGTGTAAGGTAGAGGTCTTGTTTCCAAGTACTGCATCTGGAGATCCGATTTTCTCAACACCACTTGTTGAAGAGTATGTCCTTTATCCAGGGTGTGATTTTAGCTCATTTGTCAAAGATTAGTTGTTTGAAGGTGCATGGATTTATTTCGGGGGTTTCTATTCTGTTCCATTGATCAGCATGTCTATTTTTTAGATCAATTTTTTAACATTTTATTTCAGAACAGTTTTAAATTTACAAAACAAAATTGTGAGGTAGTAACATAAAGAATTCACATATGCCCCTCATTCCGTTTCCCCTACTAACATCTCATGTTACTATATTGGTCACAATTAATGAATGGATCAGCTTTGCTCAGTATTAACTTCATGAGTCAATACCTAAGACTTCTCACTTTCTTCCAGAAAAAACCTGCAGGAGACCTAGATGTGTAACTAGGAATTGGAGAATTTTATGCTGGCAGAGCCATTGATCATTGCAAGACATGAACTAATGAACAAAAGCTTCTGTTTTTAGTCATAAGGAGGAATACAATTCTGAACCACAATTTATTAGATTTCATGGAATGAAACTTGAGTTGTCTGTAGTGATGGCCAACTTATCTTCCTCATCAAGCAAGCCATTGTTTCAGGTTCTGCTTTTTTGGGAACCAGTCTAACACACTCAAATAACTATATACCTTAACAAATATTCTGATAACCAGGAAAGAGTAAGGCATTACTAGATTTAAGTGATTTGTGTGTGTGTGTGTTGAGTGCATTCTACTATATTTTATTCTTTTTAAAACTGATACCATTTGAGGCCCGCACTGCGGCTCACTAGGCTAATCCTCCGCCTGCGGCGCCGGTACTCCAGGTTCTGGTCCCGGTTGGGGTGCTGGATTCTGTCCCGGTTGCTCCTCTTCCAGTCCAGCTCTCTGCTGTGGCCCATGAAGGCAGTAAAGGATGGCCCAGGTCCTTGGGCCCTGCACCCGCATGGGAGGCCAGGAGGAAGCATCTGGCTCCTGGCTTCAGATCAGTGCAGCGCACCGGCCATGGCAGCCATCTTGGGGGTGAACCAACAGAAGGAAGACCTTTCTTTCTGTTTCTCTCTCTCTCACTGTCTAACTCCGCCTGTCCAAAAAAAAAAATAAATAAATAAATAAAAGAAAAGAAAAAAAGAAAAAAAATTGATACCATTTGTGTGATAAGTTTCAATTACTGGGAATATTCAGTTAAGCATGCCATCCCATTCTTATTTCTTCTGTGTCAAAAATAATTTAATTCTGCAATGAAACAGAAATTTAACATTGTCTGCTCATCTCTAGATAGAAAAATCATTCCAGAGGATGTTACAAAATGAACTTATTTTCCTCCATACCATTTGGGTATGGACCCTATATCCCTGAGAGATTGCAAACCTGTTCAGTTCATACAGGAAATTATGAGAAGAGTGGGCATACATGTGTCAAGATCCATATTTCATATGCAGAGAATTATAGCCCTAGTAGCTCTTTATACTCAAAAATACCTCTTCTAAAAGGAATCATCAGCTACTATATGAATTAAATACTATAAATGTCAAGGTAGGTTCATTTTCATTGTGCTCTTGGATTTCTATTAAAAATGATAGAGAATCAGTTTTACCTACATGCAAACTACAATTACACACTCTTACATTAAGTTGCACAACAAAACGGGGAAACAAAAGGCTCCTTTAAGCAGAAAGATAACCTGTCTGAACAGAAATGTAGGAGCAATTGAACCTCTGCCTTCCAGAGGTTATTAGTTTTATTTGACATGATACATCTACAGTTCAGTTTTGTGTTGAGTGCATAGTAAAATACGTTAAGTCATATTACGATTTTTGGAAATAGCTAAATTTTTCACCCACCTATTCTGTGCCCCCTACAATAAGAGCCTTTTCTGCTTTAACTGGCTGCCACCTTGCCTTCTATGAATGTTAAAAAAGGAAAAAACCTAACAGTACAGAGGGGAATTGAATGACAAATATTCTTTTGAGAGTGAGAATAAATTACTCTAAAAATGCTTGCCAAGTACTCAAGAGAAGCATCTGCTGAGACTCATCTGAGGATTGTCACAAGTAGAGCTATTAATCTTGTACATTAGGTCAATCTGTCTTGTGTATTGGGCACATTAGGGGCTTTTTTTTGTCTTAGCCATCTGGGGCAACATCTTAATCCACACTTTCCTTTTTGTATCTATTCCCAGAAATGCCCTTCTTAAAATTAACCAGTAGCCTTCTTTTAAGATTATATTTGTTTATAAACAATTATGTTCTTTTTTTAAGAAAGCTTTTATTTAATAACTATAGATTTCATAGGTACACCTTTTAGAATATAGCAGTACTTCCCCCCATACCTGCCCTCTCACCACCATTCCTGACCCACCTCCTATTCCTTCTCCCATCCCATTCTTCATTAAGATTCATTTTAATTATCTTTATATACAGAAGATCAAGGTACCTCTTTCTTTGATGATCCCTTCTTTCCACTGGGATCTCACTCACAGAGATCTTTCATGTAGGTCATTTTTTTGCCACAGTGTCTTGGCTTCCCATGCCTGAAATGCTCTCATGGGCTTTTTAGCCAGATCCAAATGCCTTAAAGGCTGATTTTGAAGCCAGAGTGTTGTTTAGGGAATTTGTCATTCAGTGAGTCTGCTGTGTGCCCTGCTTCCCATGTTGGATCATCTCTCCTTTTTAATTCTATCTATTGTTATTACCAGACACTTGGTCTTATTTATGTGATCCCTTTGACACTTCCATCTTTATGATCAGTTTGCATGTCTATTTTTATGCCAGTACCATACCACTTGGGTTATAATATCCCTGTAGTTTGTCTTGAAATCTGACATTGTGATGCTTCTGTCTTTTTCTGTTTAAGATTTCTTTGAGTTTGCTTTAAGATGGCTATTTGAGGTGTTTTTTTGTTTTCATAACAATTTTAGTTTTTTTTAGTTTTCTAATGAATGTCATTAGAATTCTGATGGGAATTGCAATGAATCTGTAAATTGCTATGGGTACAATGGACATTTTGATAATATTAATTCTTTGAATCCATGAACATGGAAAATTTTTTCCATTTTTTTGGTATCTTCTATTCCTTTCATTAATGGTTTATAATTTGCATTGTAGAGCTCTTTCACATCTTTGGTTAATCTATCCCAGGTACTTAAATGTTTTTGTAGCTATTGTGAATAGGATTGCTAAAAGTTCTTTCTCAGTCAGATTTTTGTTGTTATATAAGAATTTTTTGTGTGTGTTGATTTTATATTCTGCAACTTTTGCTGAATTCTCTTACCGGTTATAACAGTCTACTAGTGTGTTCTTTTGGTTTACCTATAAAAAGAATCATGTAATCTGCAAACAAGGATAATTTGACTTCCTTTCCAATTTGTAGCCCCTTAATTTATTTTTATTGCCTTATGGCTTTGGCTAAAACAGAATCATATTGAATAAAAGTGGTGAGAGTCGGCACACCGGGTTCTAGTCCCGGTTGGGGCGCCGGATTCGGATTCTGTCCCGGTTGCCCCTCTTCCAGGCCAGCTCTCTGCTGTGGCCAGGGAGTGCAGTGGAGGATGGCCCAAGTGCTTGGGCCCTGCACCCCATGGGAGACCAGGAGAAGCACCTGGCTCCTGCCATCGGATCAGCGTGGTGCGCCGGCTGCAGCGCGCCAGCCGCAGTGGCCATTGGAGGGTGAACCAACGGCAAAGGAAGACCTTTCTCTCTGTCTCTCTCTCTCACTGTCCACTCTGCCTGTCAAAAAAAAAAGTGGTGAGAGTAAACTTCCTTGCCTGGTTCCAGATATTAATAAAAATGCTTCCAGATTTTCCTCATTTGATATTATGTTGGCTGTGGGCTTGTAATGTATTGCCTTTATTGTATTGAAATATGTTCCTTCTATACTCAATGTGTAAAATATTTTTGTCATGAAAGGACATTGAATTTTATCAAATGCTTTCTCTACACTTCTTGAGATAATTATATGATTTTTATCCTTCATTTTGGACCCATTTCCTGTGTTGAAAAATGTGTTCATCTTAAAATGGGTACAATTTCAGTTTCCAATTACTGATAAATCATTGCAATAATATTATTACTGTTAACAAAGGAAACTTTAGATAAATTGAATCTAGCAGAGTTTACCAGAACAGAGGCAGAGATCCAGACAAAAAATGGTTCAGCATGTCCTGCCCTGCTTCATGTGTGGCTTATAGCTAGATAGTAGGAAATGGTATGCAGAAATAACATGATTAACTACAGCCAGAATTTTAGCATTTTCCTTATATGATTTATATTCAGTTGTTTGTTACAAGGATGTACTTCCAGATTAGGTTACACTCTATACCTAGGTTAGGTTACAGTTCACTATGTGAAGAAATCTATAGGCCAAACTTAAAGTATGTATGGGATCAGCTTTAAGAAAAACTTAATTCAATTTAACTTTGCCAATATGAAATTTGTTATACTCTAACAGATATTTCTGTGTTTGGGTGTGGGTAGGTATGAAACATTTGAAGGATTTGCCAATTCTGCCAGGAGAAATATTCAAGTACAAATGGAAAGTGACCGTAGAAGATGGGCCAACTAAATCAGATCCTCGATGCCTCACACGATATTACTCTAGTTTCATTAATCTGGACAGAGATCTAGCTTCAGGACTCATTGGCCCTCTCCTCATCTGCTACAAAGAATCTGTAGATCAAAGAGGAAATCAGGTAAGTTCTTCCCTTTCTAAATGCTGAATGTGAAGCTAAGAATCAAATGAGAGTCATATGAACTTCCATGTAAGTCCAACAATCTCTCAGTGTATGTTCCCCTATAGCCTCCAGAAAATAAAGTAGCCTGCAACATAGGCATATAGAGGAAATGAGCCCGGTCCCACTTAGCTGCTGCTGAATTTGAATTTGGTGTAATAAATTTGCCTGCTAGAGCCTGAGAGTGAAAGTATTTCTATAATACTCATTCTCAGTCTTGGATTTAACTCTCTAATTATCACCTATTTCTAGATGATCCACAGACACACACACACATACACACATACTGTGTGTGTGTGTATCAGATTTATACCCTGAACATATAATTATAGGTGACTCAAAAACACTTCAAAATATAAAATCCTTCAGAATGTCTAGCATTTGGACCACTTCTGCTGCTTTAAGAAATAAATCTCAGTTGCCCGTTTGAGTCCAGAAAAACTCAATGCCATATTGCCAAGGCTTAACTGAATGTCCATTTGGTTATTTATGATCCGTAAGATTATTACTAGTCTGAAAACATTTCATTTGTTTTGAGAATTAAGCACATAAACTTTAGTGCTGGTAAAACATGTGGCATATAACCTCACAGAAGCTAGAGTTGTCCCAACACATTTTTCCTAATTACAGTTTTCCCACCAACTTTTTAATTTAAGATTTATTTTTATTTATCTGAAAGGCAGAGTTACGGAGAGATGGAAGGGGGGGGAGCGATGGGCATAGAGATCTTCCATCCTCTGAATGGCAGCAATGGCTGGAGCTGGGCAAGGCTGAATCCAAAAGGCAGGAGCTTCAACTGGGTCTCCCACGTGGGTGCAGGGGCCCAAGGACTTGGACCATCTTCTGCTGCTTTCCCAGATGCTTAACAGGGAGCTGGATTGGAAGTGGAACGGTTGGGGCTCGAATCAGCACTCATATGGAATGCCGGTTCTACAGGCAGAGGCTTAACCTGCTATGCCACAATGCTGCCCTTCCCACCAGTTTTTGAAGAGGACTGAAATGTATCTATATATTCGTCAATTACTTCCCCTCGGAATTTTGGTTTCAGTAGCTATAGATTGTGCAAATGAAATTATACATATTAGTTATTTTTACACATTAAATATATATTCCATTAGAAATTAATTCATAAAATTGGTTCATCTAAAAATTGCTTTTCTGAAAAAAATTTAATTTTTTAATCCAAAAACTTAAGGCATTACTGTTGTTCAACATTTTTGAAGTTCTCCATATCTCTGTTATTTGATTTCTGCCTTTGTATTTTTATTAGTTTTATAGCTTGGTAGCCCTGTGGTTGTAAGTTTAGGAAAGGCATTAATCATATTTAACTCAAATAACTTATTTAAAAGCCAAATAATTACTTGTGCATTAAGGGTTAAAATCTTCTCATCTGAGCATGGAGAGAATGATACTACTCACTGTACCAAAATATCAGCTAGTATATGGTCTTCAATCCAGAAGAAACTTTAAGTGGATCCAGTCACCCTTTTGCCTTGGGGACACATTTGCTCTGAACTTATACTCACTGCTCATAGCATCCACTTCCATTTTCAGCCCTGGTACATGCCATAATATTAACCCTAAGAGGAAATGAAAGTGAGCGTGCATATCATCAGTTCTATCATACACCACAAGTTCCTACTTCACAATATCATTAATGCTTCTTTCCATTATTTATTTATCTATTTTTATTCAAAAGGAGAGAGAGAGAGAAACTCCCATTTTTTGGTCACTAAATGCCTTCAAGTGGAGTCAGGACTCAAACCCAGGCCCTTCAACATGGGATACAGACATCCTGACCACTGTATCAAATGCCCAACTCTATTTATTTGTTTTTAATTGACACATAAAATTATACATATTTATGGCATGCCATGTGATATTTTGTGTTTTTTCCCAGAAGCCTTTTACTTAAGGTATTTCATAAATACAACTTTATGTATGCATTGTATACTGTTAAAATTAGGGTAAACCTATCTAGTTCCTCAATAATTTATCATTTCTCTGTGGTGAAGACATTCAAAGACTTCTAGCTTTTTTGAAATACATAACACATTTTCATCATCTGTAGAAACCCTGCTGTGCAATAGAATATCAGAGTTTATTTTTCCTATATAACTAATTTTACACTCATTGATCAATCTTTACCATCTCTCCTTTCCTCCTACTTTCTCCAGTCTCTGGTAACTACTATTTTATCAACCTCTATGAGATCAAGTTAGATCCCACATGTGAGTGAAATCATGTGGTATGTATCTTTCTGTGCCTGGCTTATTTCTTTTAACATAATGACATCCAGTTCCACCCAGGTTGTCACAAATGACAGGATTGCATCCTTTTTATAGCTGAAGAGCATTCCATTATGTATATATACCACATTTTCTTTACTTATCAATTGATGAAAATTTATGTTGTTTTAATTTCTTGGCTAAAACTGCTGCAATGAACATGGACAATATATATAATTAACAGATGATGTCAGACAAGAGAAATGTCATCCTGTTTTCTGTATTTGATGAGAATCAGAGTTGGTACCTCACAGAGAATATGCAACGCTTTCTCCCAGAGGCAGCTGGAGTGCAGCCCCAGGATCCAGAGTTCCAAGCCTCCAACATTATGCACAGTGAGTTAAACAGCATTTGGGTCCCGTGGATATTGGAGAAAGGGAAATGAATGCCACCAAACTAATATCCAAATAATACATGAATTTATATGCCATGAAAGAGTCTTATTTCTTTAACAATTACATTACCTATAAACATATAAATATATAAACATATAAATACCTATAAACATATAAATACACAAATGTGATCTTACAATGCATACTTTTAAAGTTCAGTCACTATTTTTCCTTTCAATATTTACTTGGCTGCCCCTGTTTTATTTCACCATCTCCTTCTATATTATGTCTTTTCATAAACCAGTCCATGCCCAGGCAACATATTTTCTCAATGAGTGTATAATATCATATAAACACACACATAAATATGTGTGTATTAGTATATATTTATATATGTGTGCGTATTAGTATATATATAGTATATATAGTATTATTTATATATATAGTATTAGTTAAATATATAGTATTAGTTTGCTAGGGCTGCCATAACAAAGTACCACTGAGCAGGTGGTTTAAGAAACAGATGTATTGTCTTACAATTATGGAGGCTAGAAATCTGAGAAGAAAGTGTCAGAAAGGTTGGTTTCTTCTGAGACCTCTCTCCCTGGCTTGTAGATGGCTATAATTTCCCTGGGTCTTCACATGGTTTCCCCTATGTATGTCTGTGTCCTAATCTCCTCTTCTTATAAGGGCACAAGTTGTATTGGGTTAGGGCCCATCCTTATGACCCTAATTTTTCCAATTACCTTTTAAGTTGACCCCATCTTCAAATAAAGTCATATTCTGAGGCACTGAAGATTAGGACTTTAATTGATAAAATTATTATTTTTTGATGGAGGGGGACACAATTCAGCCCATCACATACATACATAAGTGTATGTGTTTATATATATATAAATATATATTAATGTTCACAAATATGATAGAAATTTGCAATTTCACTGCCCTTTAGAGTAATGCAAAAGTATGATACTAATGAGATAACACTATACTCAGCAAACCTCAAAAATTATAAGACCATTATTACTAGTGGGCTTATGGGTAAAAGCATATTCTCATACAATGCTAGTGGATAACTAATACAGTCTTTTAAAAACAAATATGGTGTGTCTATAAAATTAAAAACATATTCCTTTGAAAGTTCCATGTCCTACTGTATACAACTAAAAATCATGAACAAAATGTGTGGAGAAGCTACCTAAAAAAACTTAACTCTTGTTAAGTTAAAAAACTTAACTCTTGTTTTTTAAAAGATTATTTTATTTGAGAGGGAGGGAGTGAGGGAGGGAGAAAAACAAAGAGAGAGAGATCTTTCACCCACTGCTTCACTCCCCAAATGGCCGCAATGTCCAGAGCTGGGCTGGCCTGAAACCAGGAGCCAGGAGCTTCTTCGGAGTCTATTATGTGGGTTCAGGGGCCCAATCACTTGGGCCACCTGTACTGCTTTACCAGGTATGTTATCATGGAGCTGGATTGGAAATGGAGCAGCTGGGACTTAAATCCCTGCCCATGGCGGGTGCCTTGCTACAGGTGGAGGCTTAACATGCTACGCCACAGTGCTGGCCCCAACTCTTAACTCTTCATTCTTCTAAAACTTTATTTTTATTTCATTCAGTTGGAATTTCATTTTTTATACAGTGCAGGATATTGAATTAGGTTTTTAATTCCTTTCACTTTATAGTTCATTGCATTTTATTATTTCCTTATTGTATTATACACTAGATATGTTTCTTTATTTTTCTACCGATCATTTCTCTATCCCACCCCTAAAAAAGCTTGTTCCAAGTAGAGAGTGCACCTGTTACATTACCTGGACCGTTAAAGTGCCCCATATTTATGGAGACAATGATTAGAATAAAAGAGCTATGATGGCATAATTAGAGCCAAAAAACCATTTGCACTGAACATGACATATGGATACTAAGAGGGAAGTCTTTTTCCTCTCTGGAATATCTAATGTAGCTTCTGTTGGAGCTAAGAGTCTGGAGCCTGGAAAGAAGAGATAAGAATTGAGATAAAGATATTACAAAAGCAGGGAGACAAAAGTACAATACAGAGACAGAAGCAAAGAGGAGAATGCTGAAAAAGAGGAATAAGGAAAGACAAAGGGAAAGGCCAGAAGGAAAGGGAAAGAGGGATTCAAGTAATAAATCACTCAAATTTCCATTAGCAGTAAAATGGATAATATATTTCACACAATGTAATACTATTTGACAATGAATATTATAAAATAAAACTATACACAATAACAAAAGTTAATCTCACAAACACAATATTGAGTAAAAGAGTCTCAAAAGAATACACATAGTATGTTATTTACATAAAGTTCAAAATGGGCAAAATTAAATTATACAGTTTAGAAAAGTGTACTTAGGAAGAAAAATATAAAGATTAGCAAGGATTTAATTACCATAAAAGACAGGATAGTGACTACCTCTTAGGGTGAGAGATGTGGTTGAGAATAGACATTTAAGGATTTTGAAGGATATCAAAGCAAATACAAAACTGGTTGTTTTATAATTTTGTGTTTCAAAAGTGGTAGGGCCTGGGGCTTATTTTGTAGATGGATTCCACAAGAATAGAAAATTTGAAGTAGGAACAGAGAGGAAGGCACATGTATAAGATTTGTTTAGAAGATGGAATGTGTAGGATTTGGGACTGATTTGGGTAAGGTCTCAAGAATGATTATTAGATTTCTGACTTCGGTAACTAAGAGGGTAGCTGTGCTTTATTGATGAGGTGAAGACTAGAGAAGAAGCCAGTTCAGGGAGTGGAATAAGGAGTTCATGTGCTGACAGAGTGAATTTGATGAGGACACATCAGCTCTCTTTTTGTTTCTGTTGGCATGGATATCTCTTTCTATCCTTTCACTTTCAGTCTGCATGCATCTTTGTTGGTGAGATGTGTTTCTTGTGGGCAGCAAATAGATGGGTTTTATTTTTTAATCCATTCAGCCAGCCTGTCTTAACTGGGGAGGTTGAGGCCATTTACATTCAAGGTGACTATTGATAAATAATGACTTTGCCCTGCCATTTTTCCAAAGATATTCCTAGTTTTTACTTTGAACTTTCTGTGATCTTTTACTGGAAGATTTTCTTCCTTTACCTTCTTTTGTAATCATGACCATGTGTATGCAACACAGCCTTGAGCCTCTTTTGCAGGGCTGGACGAGTGGTGACAAATTCTTTCAATTTCTGTTTGTTATGGAAGGTCTTTATTTCACCTTCATTCACAAATGAGAGCTCTGCAGGATATAATATTCTGGGGTGGCAGTTTTTATCTCTTAAGACTTGGACTATATCGCACCATTCTCTCCTAGACTGTAAGGTTTCTGATGAGAAGTCCACTGTGAGTCTAATTGGAAATCCTCTGAAAGTAATCTGGCATTTTTCTCATGCACATTTTAGGATCTTCTCTTTATGTATTACTGTGGTGAGTTTGATTACAATGTGTCATGGTGAGGATCTTTTCTGGTCATGTCTATTGGGAGTTCTGTGTGCTTCCTGTACTTGGATGTCCCTTTCGTTCTCCAAACCCGGGAAGTTTTCTGCTAACATTTCACTTAAAAGGCCTTCTAATCCTTTATTTCTCTCCATGCCTTCAGGAACTCCTAGAACCCATATGTTGGGGTGTACACACACACACACACACACACACTATCCTTTAGATTCCCAACAGTGGTTTTTTTAAATTCTTTTTTTTAACTTTTATTTAATAAATATAAATTTCCAAAGTACAACTTTTGGATTATAGTGGGTTTTCCCCCCATAACCTCCCTCCCACCCACAACCATCCCATCTCCCACCCCCTCTCCCATCCCATTCATATCAAGATTCATTTTCAATTATCTTTATATACAGAAGATCAATTTAATATATACCAAGTAAAGATTTCAACAGTTTTCACCCACACAGAAACACAAAGTATAAAAGTACTGTTTAAGTACTGGTTATAGCATTAATTTACATTGTAGAACACATTAAGGACAGAGGTCCTACATGGGGAGTAAGTGCACAGTGACTCCTGTTGTTGATTTAACAATTGACACTCTTATTTATGACATCAGTAATCACCCAAGGCTCTCGTCATGAGCTGCCAAGGCCTCTTGAGTTCGCCAACTCCAATCTTATTTAGACAAGGCCGTAGTCAAAGTGGAAGTTCTCTCCTCCCTTCAGAGAAAGGTACCTCCTTCTTTGATGACCCATTCTTTCCGCTGGGATCTCACTCACAGAGATCTTTCATTTAAGTCATTTTTTTTTTTTTTTTTGCCAAAGTGTCTTGGCTTTCCATGCCTGAAATACTCTCATGGACTTTTAAGCCAGATCCGAGTGCATTAAGGGCTGAATCTGAGGTCAGAGTGCCCAACAGTGTTTTTTAGTTTTCTAATTTCTTCTTCTTGTCTTTGGTTTGACTGTATACTTTCCTGTGCTTTTCCTTCTAAGTCCAATATTCTTTCTTCTGCTTCACCAATTCTGTTCTTATGACTCTCCACTACATTTTTTATTCTGTTGAATTCTTCATTTCATTTTGATTTCTCTTTAAGATCTCAATTTCATAGGAGAAATTTTCTTTCATGTCCTGTATGGATTTCAGTAGTTTGTGCACTTGCTTTTGATTACTTCTATGGAATTTTACCATCAATTTTTTGAATTCCATTTCTTGCATTTCTTCTATTTCATCATCTTCACAATCTAGTACTGAAGGTCATGTTCTTTTGGGGGCATCATTATGTCTTCCTTATTCTTGTTTCTTGAATTGGTGCGTTTGTTGTTCAGCATTTGTGGAGATACTCGTTCCCCCCCCCCCCCCGTGGTGGCTTTTATCTTTGTACTATGACTCTGTAAATAAGTGGAATGTTTGCTTTCAGTGAATTTCTAGAGGCTTGTAGTGGCTGTAGCCAGAGAGCTCTGTTCATTTCTCCAGGGTTAAGGGCATGTCTAGGGTGACACACCCAGGTTTGGCATGGTGAATCTTTTTAACAGAAGGGAGGTTTATTTTGC